TAGGGGGACTAAGAAGAATAGAGACAGTTTCAAATAACTGCTGTAGAGAGCTGACTTGAGAAGACAAACAGAAAATGTGTTAGTGAGCAAAAGAGGACTAGTGGACCATGAATTTTTTAGTGGCATCCATATCTGTAATTTCCCAGCAATGCTCAATAGGCAAATTTGAAGGAAAATGGGAAAAACAGTGGAATTGAGCAAAGGCTACTTTGTTCTAAAATGTGTGCTAGAGGACAAGTGACCAGTGTAATGCCAAGAAAGAGGCTGAAGAGTGCGCAAAATCTAGGCTCCCTGGAAGAGGAAATTTAGACAGGGAACCAACAGAGTAGAGATAGAGAAGCACAGGGATGAAGTGTCAGTCATGTCAGAGTGCGCTGAGAATAAAAAAAGTAAACAATCTGGAAGGAAAGTTGAGGTCAAATGTGATGTTTAATTTAAAAATGTTTCAACTTAAAAATTATCTGGAAGAATCAACAGAATATTCAGGAAAAATAATGTAGCAGAGAAAATATGCCCTACAAATATTAACACATCATTAGATGCTTCTATCAATGGAAACAGCTTTGTCTTTGTTCATGGATAGACAGAACAATAAAACAGAGTCTAGAAGTACTTCTAAGTAGATACAGAAATCTAAAGCTGATAAAGGAAGAATGTCAAATAAAGAAGGAAGGCAAAATATTTAATAGATGAGGTTAGTAGCTGGCAGCCAATTGGAAATAGATAAAACTTTATCTGTTCCTCTTCCTTTATACCAATATAAATTTCAAAAGGATCCTAAATTTAATGCAAAATAATTATAAAGTGTATTATAAAAGGATTTCAGAGTTGGAGCAGTTTCATGTGAAGAAAAGATTCAGAGTGTGGTGGGAGAAGCTGAAATGGAATGAAAACTAAGGTCACTGGAATGGAGAAGAAACTCTCAGCCTAGGGTTATACTGAGCAAGGTATCTACAAAGTCTCCAAGAGGTGGTAACCAACAAAATTATCCTGCTCAAAAATGTCTTGCCTCCAGTTTATTTTTAGGTACACCATGTTCTAACAGTTGGAAATCTCAATTCCAGATCACCGAGTCTTGAGGTTGTATAAATGTACCTAAATAGTGTCTAGAGTCACTGTGTGGTGCAAATGGTTAACACACTGTGCTTCTAACTGAAAGGCTCAAGTCCACCCAAAGGCACCTTGGAAGAAGGACCTGATGATCTACTTCTGAGTAATGAACCCTTGAAAACCCTATTGAGCACAGTTCTGCTCTAACACACATGGGACTGCCATGAGTTGGAGCTGACTCGAAGGCAACTGGTATTAGTACTAGTACTAGTGTCTACATGCACTCTGGACTTTGAAATACCTTGGCATTGCAGGAATTCTCCCTCAGACCTATGTGATTAAGCCCTTCATTACCTTAGTTTCTGATTTAAAATTCAATATGGATAATTCTTAATTTCCTGAACTTGGGGACTTCTGCTTGCAAAGTTCCCTATCAAATTATTTTATCCCCTGTATTCAATTTGGCATTATTATAATTTCAATGTTATAATAATTTTCTTGATACCAAGGACTTGATGCTAGTGATAATAATGTACTTCAGGTTCCCATCAAACTGATGTTTGTCTGTTTGCTGATTTTAATTATATACTATATATCTGATTC